GATTTTTTGAGGAATCTCCATACTGTTTTCCATAGTGGCTGCACCAGTTTGCACTCCCACCAGCAGTGTATGAGAGTTCCCTTCTCTCCACATTCTCCCCTTCACATGTTGTTTCCTGTCTTGTTAAACAAGTACATTTTGAATGAACTAAGGTGAATAAAGGTGCAACTAAAAACTCAACAAAAGGGGCTGGCCTGGTGGCGCAGCGGTTAAGTGGATGGGTTAAGCGTGCGTGCTCCACTGCAGTGTCCTGGGGTTCGCAGGTTCGGATCCTGGGCGCGCACCAACGTACCGCTTGTCAAGCCATGTTGTGGCAGCGTCCCATATAAAGCAGAGGAGATGGGCACAGATGTTAGCCCAGGGCCAATCTTCCTCAGCGAAAAGAGGAGGATTGGAATCGGATGTTAGCTCAGGGCTAATCTTCCTCACCAAAATAAATAAATAAATAAAGAGAAAGAATTAAAAAAAAAATTCACACAAAAAAAAGAGAGATAGTGGAGCTAGCATTTTAATCTAACACTCCCTAGTGTGTTAACACCGATGGAAGATAGTTCTTTCCTAAGCAGGAAGATTTGGCTGTCTTTATTTTTTAATAAGGTTAGAGAACTGAATAATGTCTTCTTCGTAGGTTTCCTCTTACTCGACCCAGTCTTTGTAAGAAATGGGAGGCAGCTGTCAGAAGAAAAAACTTTAAACCCACCAAGTATAGCAGTATTTGTTCAGAACACTTTACTCCAGACTGCTTTAAGAGGGAGTGCAACAACAAGTTACTGAAAGAGAATGCTGTACCCACAATATTTCTTTGTACTGAACCACATGACAAGGTAATATGTGCTTTAAAATATTGGTTTGTTTTCTATTTATAAAATTAATGTGTTCATTGTGGAAAATTTGATGTTAAGAAAATAAATGTTACCTGGGACCCATCACTTGTAAATAATCACCGTCAGCAGTAATACAGTTTTAAAAAAATACCAAATGCAGTTTATTAAATATCCTCACACTAAGAAACTCAGTCTACATTTGTGACTTACTTTAAGATCCCTCTATACGCCTACTTGCATGTTGATAAGTTTTGGTTTTTCTTTATCAATGACAGTTCAGTTTCAAAGTATTTTTCCCCTCAGTTTTAAGTGTTTAGTACTTAATTAAATCTTATTAATTATTCTTTCTTGCATCCCTTTCCTACTTCAGGTAGGAAAGTAAAATTAAAACTTAAATGATTTTCTCATTTTGGAATGCTTTTATACCAAAGATTCACAAAAAAGTCTAGTATTCTTAAATTCCACAGATGAATTCTTTCAACTGTTATCTGCAGTTACTGCATTCACGCGTACTCTGCATTATTGTTTTAGAAGGAAGATCTTCTGGAGCCGCAAGAGCAGCCTCCCCCGCCCCCTTTGACGCCCCCCATTTCCCAGGTCGACGCTGCCATTGGATTACTGATGCCACCTCTTCAAACCCCTGATAACCTCTCAGTTTTCTGTGACCACAACTATACTGTGGAGGATACGATGCACCAGAGAAAAAGGATTCATCAGCTAGAACAACAAGTGGAAAAACTCAGAAAGAAGCTCAAGACTGCACAGCAGCGATGCCGAAGGCAAGAACGACAGCTTGAAAAATTAAAGGAGGTTGTACACTTCCAGAAAGAGAAAGACGACGCATCAGAAAGAGGTTATGTGATTCTACCAAATGACTACTTTGAAATAGTTGAAGTACCAGCATAAAAAAAAAGGAAATTTGTATTGGTTTTTAATGGGGCAATACCACATACCCTCTTCTAGCCTATAAAGGAGTTTCATTTGAAAAAATAACACTTGATTACTTGTATAAAAACAGTTTAGAATATTTTTTTAAAAAAATAAATTAGATATATACTGTAAAATTGTAAAATTTTTGTTTGTAATTTCAGGGTTTTTACATTTTAACAAAATATTTTAAAAGTTCTAAACTAACCTCAGAGCTCCACTGTAAGTTGGTTTCAAGATTGGGGATTTTTGGTTTTTAATTTGAGTATTTGTAGAAATAATGTAAAAATAAAAAGTAAGGAGAATGAGAACAGAACATTAAGGTTGATTTAAGTTTAAAGTTTAAAATTTAAAATTAATGCAGTTTATTGAGAGAACTTAGTTATATTTTAAATCAGAAGTATGGGTCAGATCATGGACATAACTTCTCAGAATATATATATTCTTATTCACACATTCTTATTTGTAAAGTGAGAAGATTCATTTGTCTTTCTTAATCACTTGGCAAAAATAAATTGGCAAGTCAATACTTTAAAAAAAAGATTGGTTGTCTTCAAAGCAGAAAATGAAGAGTCATTCCATACCTAATGAGTATGGTTAAATAACTTTATAAAGAATGGATTTTTTTAAAGTGGGCCCCTCTTTTTTCCCCTCACTGTCTAGCATTATAAAATTAGCAGTGTATCTCCAGTGGAAGAAACATTCTTCGAAAAACAAAATAGGTATTATTATCAGTGAAGTAATAAAAATGGGGGCTGATCCCTGGTGTGCCTTTTTCTCCCAGTACCCTGAGCTAAGGGCATCTCGCTCCCCAGTGTAGTTCTGTCTGCATCCAGATCCCTAAGAAATGTGCTGTGTTAGTAGAGTTTGAGTTGCACCATAATATAGTGATCTTGCACTTAACTGATTGATTTTGGTTAAGCCTTCACGTAAAAAATTTCTTCACTTTTAACACAAGTTAGAAATTATATCCCATTTACTTAAATGAATGATTTATATTCAAAAGCGACCTAATATGTAGTGTTTATTTTACTGAATGTTGAATTTAAACACTGAGGTTTCTGTTCAAACTGTGAGTTGTGTTCTGACTGTGAGAAATTTTACATATATTTGAAATGAAAATATATTCTGACTAAACAAATACTGCCATAGAAATTATCTACTTAGATTTAGAGTAACTGTTCCAAGTGTAATTATTTTATATTTCAAAGTACACTGAGATAGTTGAAGAGTAACAGACCTTTTAAGGCAGTATTAAAGATATGAAACAATGGCATTCGAAAGTGTCTTTTGTAGACCTGGTGTTTGGTATAATTCACTGCGATGCTGCCAGAGGATAGTAGTTTGATTCGTGGAGATTTGTTTTTTTATGAGCCAGTATTTCAAAAATAGAAAATAATGATTAGAAGATTACTTGAAGTTACATAGTCTGATAACATTTAGAACTAACTATAATGAATATTTTTCCAAGTATATATCTTCAATCCAAATTGTCATCTACATAAAAGAAAATCTATGTGTGTCCAGAACCAAGAATCCACCATTGAATTGTAAAAGTAGTAATCTTAATTACTTAGCATCTTAGCATTATGATTTAACCTGAAGCTGCTTTCTTTTCATAACAGACATAATCTCTCATTGGAGAGAACTGAGTGAGCGGCATGGACACCAACTGTCTGCATTTAAATAGTTTATTATAGCTTAACATAGGGAGTTTGAGTACAGGTGCTTATTTCTGAATTTGAGATGTAACATTTGTTGAATGTTTTTAAAATTCATTTTATCTATTGTTTATGATATTGCCAAGAAAAAGAGAACATTTAGGCTAAAGTAGGTCCTGTTCAAGCATAGCGAAACTCAGTCTGAAACAAACAGGGACAAAGTTTCAATCTGGAACAAATGAGGAGAAGACACATATGAGTTGCAGCATATTCTGAAAGATGACATTTATTTTAAGCACACATGGTAACAACCTAAAATTTCCTTCTATGCGTGACATAACCTGGCAATAATGATGAGAAGAAATAGCTGTTTCTTAATAGAACTGCTAGGAAAAGTATAGAATCATAGCATTTTAGAATTAGAAGGGACTTAGAAATCACCCACCACTAACCTAACCTCCAGACCCTGCAAAATCCCCTTGAAGCTATCCCTGACAAGTGGTCATCTGTTCTCTGTTTGCTGTTTACGTTTAAGCAATTATTCTGCTTAGATTATTTAAAATGGATTTTTGGATGAGAATACAATTAGTTGCCACTCTTTTTATACTTGTTTATATTGCAAATATAAACTTCACTTTGAATTGCTTCATAGTTTGAAATATCAAATTCCAAATTAAAGAAGTTTTAAAATTTTGAAAAGTAAATGTTTACTAATTGTATACTTTTTATGTGTACTAAAAATAATTCTGTCATTGCAGTAAAGAAATGGTGGTGGTGAAAATTATTAGCCAAACTTTTTACTTGGAAATCCAAGTACATGAGTTTTTTTCTTTTAACTATAATTTGTGTAATCCCTTGCTTAAAAGTATAACAATGATGAAGGCAAATGAAAGGTTCACTTGATATGGATGTTTTTAGGTTAAATTAATATTCTCTCATCATCTTAGTTATTAAAAAAATTATAGACACATACCTATGGCTTTTATACCCAACACCTATGGCTTTTATAAAGTCAGTAGTAAGCAACATAATATATTTAAAAGTTCATATGATCTATAAAAAGAAAACTCATTTTTTTTATACAATTTTTTATTTTTTAATTTTTTTCTGAGGAAGATCAGCCCTGAGCTAACATCCATGCTAATCCTCCTCTTTTTGCTGAGGAAGACCGGCTCTGAGCTAACATCTATTGCCAATCCTCCTCCTTTTTTTTTTCCCCCAAAGCCCCAGTAGATAGTTGTATGTCATAGTTGCACATCCTTCTAGTTGCTGTATGTGGGACGTGGCCTCAGCATGGCCGGAGAAGCGGTGCGTCGGTGCGCGCCCGGGATCCAAACCCGGGCTGCCTAGTAGCGGAGCACGCGCACTTAACCGCTAAGCCACGGGGCCAGCCCAAGAAAACTCATTTGTGTTCCAGAATTTTTAAAAGATAGCTGGCCATGCATAGCGTTTAAAGGAAAAAGAATCAGAACTGATTTGCTTGCTTGGTCATTACTCTTCCTGATTTTGGGGACCGTATGAGTTGGATGACCAGTGAGTGAAGAGCATTGCTCTTGGCTGATGTAACTGTAACACCAGTAACTGGTGTTTCTGGGCATTATGGTTTTAAATATTTGTGTATTAAAATACAATCCTTGATGTTAAAAATATCAAAGAGCAAACAGTGATTTACAAACAAGCAAAAAAGAAATTATAATTATTATACTTAAAATAACAGAAAAGTTTGCTCAAAGTAATATTCTCTTAGAATTCCATGTCTTGGTATCTTTTTTACCTTGGATGTGGTTTTATTGTGAATTTTTTTCCTGAATGATTTAACTCTAAAAATTTGAGAATTTTTATTCATTCTTTTTTTTTTTTTTTTTAAATTTATTTATTTATTTTTCCCCCAAAGCCCCAGTAGATAGTTGTATGTCGTAGTTGCACATCCATTCTAGTTGCTGTATGTGGGACGCGGCCTCAGCATGGCCGGAGAAGCGGCGCGTCGGTGCTCGCCCGGGATCCGAACCTGGGCCGCCAGCAGCGGAGCGCGAGCACCTAACCGCCAAGCCACGGGGCCGGCCTTATTCATTCTTTTTTAAATTCATAGTATTTTGGGTTTTGAGGTTATCAAAATTTCATTTTTTAAATATCCTAAGAGATAGATATGAATAACCTTTTATTGTTTTAAACTGTTTTTCGTGAGATAAACTGTTACAATATTAACAATAAATAGACAAATGACTTCTGGAATGGCTACATGAGGAGCTCCGACCTGCCCCCCACCATAACTACCATAACTGAAAAAGTTTTTTTAAATAATCATTTAAAGTCTCTGCATATTGTCCTAAGGGCATACAGCAAATGAGGAAACATTTAGGAAAATCTAAATCTCTGTAATAATATTAAGAGTCGGTGGCATTTATGCCACAACATATTCTCTCCTTAACCTCTCTATCCCCCTATACACACAGCTCTGCTACAGAAGCTCCACTCTGAATGGGTATGGCCTAAAAGACAATGCTCTCTCCTCCCAACCCCCAATTAAGGACTAGGGTATCTCCCAGGGACTGGCAGGTTGCCACTGTTTCTTATGCCCCTCTAGCTTTGTGATGCAAAGGCTAAACTCCAGGTGAGTTCAGCCATGAGGTCAGGACTCCATTCCTCCACTCAGCTCCAACTCATAGGGTGGAGGCTCTACCCTAGGTGCAGCAAGCCAAGATTGGGGCCCTGATCACCCTCTCCCTAGTTCTCTCATAGGGTAAAGGTTCCATGCCAGGAGAAGCAAGCCAGGAAGACCAGAGGCTGCCACACCAGCTGAGCCCTGTTCATAAAGCAGGCATATCAATCTTAGAGAAGCAGGTGATGGGTCCCCCACCCCTAGTTCCACAACAGTGACTTAGATTTTTTCCTAGGGGAGAGGCAGACCGTAAGAATAGAGACTTCTGAAGCTCTCCCCGAAGGAACTGATTTTGTTTGGAAGAGTGTTGGGAAGTTCAAGCCTAAAGGTGCTCTCAAGAACAATGGAGAACCTAGAGGTAAGCAATTAAGAGGAGGCTGGTAGCTCCACAGGAGCAGTAAGCTAAATTGTAGGCTAGCTAACTTATCAGAGAGAACCAGAAAGAGACAGGTAAGGAGAGCCTTCCTGGGGTCATAACAAACCTCAAAGACTAGCCTCAAAAGCTACCTCTGCAAAAGGCCCAAATCTAATTAAATCAGACTGCAGAGCAATTTATGCTACAGGGCATCATCAAAACCAGATCAATCAACTGGCAGTTGGAGATAATGTCTGAGTGTGATGCCAGCAAAGGCAGATAGTTTAAAAGAGAGATCAGGGAAATAATCAAAAGAAACCCATGTTAAAACATCTGTCACCCCAGGTGACTGCATGCCCCACGCACCTCTAAGGAATGAAATCAGAGATTTCACACTGAAGAGAAAATAAGCTTCACTGAATTAGTGCAGTCAAGTAATTGTATAGAAAAGCAAACAAGCCTGGTGAGAGGGGGAGGGTAACTGGAATCAGTGATCAGAGATCCTACAATGTATAATATAAAGTGTCCAGTTTTTAACAAAAAGTTATGAGACATGCAAAGAAACAGGAAAGTAACTCGTATACAGAGAGTAAAAAAGCATGTACCTGAGAGGGCCCAGATGTCAGAATTAACAGGCGAAGACTTCA